AATGAGGTACTTGCTGTGGGTATTAGGTAATGCTTTGACAAGTTTTTTTTATCAATCTCACAAAACTGTTGTCATAATAGTTGAAATTATTGTTGTAATTGTGCATTTGTGAGTGTGATCTATATTTGCCTAATGATAAATTGTAAAATATGATTAATTAGAAATGTTAGATATTGCAAGTTAACTATTTCTGCTTGTTGGTTTAAAATCTATTTAATGCACTATGCAGCATTACATTATATTAAATTATGGCTGAAGTAATAGGAAAAGCATATACATAAAATATTTTTCTGCTTTTCCAGCAAATCATGTTAATCAAACATCTATATTATGCATTTTTGGCTCATACTTCATGTTTCAATGATTTCATGTAGGTGAAAATATATTATTAATTGCTTCATATTGCCTTACCTTTAGGCTTTTTTTGTTACTGATTTCATTTAGTGTTGTTTTGCAGTTTTCGTTCGTATATCTAATTTTTTCTGAAGTTACTAATCAATGTATAAAAAAAACATATTAGTTATCACCATACTTTTTATTGTAAAGAAATGTTATCACATTCAAATATTTTGTAATTGTTCATTATCCTGTAGCCTAGTTAATTACAATTGAAAAGTTATATGATATAACTAGCATCACGTATGTGTATGTGTGTTGTTTTCAAGTAATTTGAAAAGTTGGTCATGTCTAATGTGTAAGAATAATTCTACATTAACTTAAAAATGGTGATGACTTATTATGAGAAAATAGTTCATTAATATAAAGCTGTTGATAGAATGTATTTTTCATATACAACAATCATCGTATTCATGTTATGATTGACTGATAGACATGAGAAGTGACAATAAATTAATTTTGCCAGAGTAGTTATTACCAGGAGTAAGAGAGATTTTACAAATTGGCAAATACCAGTGCAATTTCTCACTTAGCATCATTATATTATTTGCTTGAGATGAACTTTATTCAATGTGTGTTTTTTAAAATATACTAATTAGAGCTAAGCAGTACTGGAATTTGCTAATTAATTAATTGATTATTCCCACAAGACTTGGACAGTTGGAATAATTGAAAATAGTAATAATCAGAAGCACTAGTTTCGATTAATTTATTGTTTTCATAATATTAATCACTTTAATTGTAATGTTGATTAATAGATTATTTTACCTTACACTAACCTATGTAATGGATGCTCATAGGTGATAATTTATATAAAGTTAATCACCCAGCTATAATGCTAATCTGTATTACTGTTTTTTTTTATGTAAAGTTTGTAAAAAAAATAACATATTTTCCAGATTCAATTCAAACCCATATAATAGGAACCAATGCTATAATATGTTGGTAATCTTTTTCTTTTAAATGTGTTAAGTTTAAAAAGTTAGTTATCAGTTCTTTGCTTTGCAATAATGTATTGTAAGCAATGATTATAATTTCATCATTGAAGTGCATGACAGTTTTTCCTAATAATGTACTAATAACTGTTAACTCTCTAACCATAATATAATTATTTTTTTTCAATTTTCATCATAGGTTTTTTTTGGTGGATACTAAATCTTTAAATTTTGTTTCATCTCAATAGATGGAAGTAGTGAACCAGAATGTGGGGAAGAAAGAAAATTTGCTTCTCGTGCAGTAGCTTTTGTCATTAAAAACTCCAGGAAAGGAATTGTTCCCTTATGTGTGAGTGTAGCAGCTCTTTTACAAGAAAAAGAAAAGTAAGTTAAATGCACTTTTTTAAAACTGATTTCCTACATTTTCTTAGAAGGTTTACCACATATATTCACCTTTCTTTATTTCATATCAATTTCCTTAATACATTTAAAGACACGCATTCATTATCTTCTGACTGGTTATTTGAATTATGCCCTCTACAGGAAGAATTGTAAGTATGACATAAGTTTTACAAAACTATAAATTGTGCCACTTTAATGACTCAAGCATTGTTAATATTTCCTTGCGAACTACCTTGTTACCTTTCCTAAACAACCTCATGCATGGTAAGATAAATACACTATCCTACCATATTTTCAGTTACTTGTAAGTATGAAATGAATCAACTAAAAACCCATTCCATATTTATGCTCCACACATTCTCTACATGGACCATTTTCATGGTGTGATCACCGTAGAAATACTGCTGATCTTGTTAGCATAGCAGTTTGAGTGTATTTTGTCCAAGTGCTACATACTACCATCAATGACCAATAATCAATATCACGGCTAGCATTCAAGGAGTATTTCTTTGGAAATGCATAGAAAAAAATTTAATTTTTGACACCAGTTTCAGGTTAAAGGGGGTGAATGAATATATAAGAATGGATGTTTACACTTTGTTTGGGGAGATTGCTGTTGGTTCCAAAAATAGAAAAATTGCATATGGAAATAAGATTATTATAAAAGTCATTTTGGCATGTATGCACACACTAACTATAAGATAATTTCATGTAGACTATAATTCTCTTTTAATGTTTTGACTTTATATACAATATCGATTCTGGAGCCAAAGTAATTTACATCTTAAAAATTAAAAAAATTGCCTAATTTTTTCATCATTTACCATAACAACAAATCCACAGTTTTGAGAGTTCTAACTAGTTTTTAACAGAAAAACATTCATACAGTACTTCATGACATCAGCACGTCTAAGTAATACACATTTGAGGAGGGGGTTTAAATAAAGGGGCAAAGGCCAAGAAACACATACGAGTATAATGAAGTAAATGGTATAGTACTGTGAATATAATATGAGAGGTGAATTTGGACCATTTAAAAAGTTATTTCTTGACTTTTATTATTCCTGTTATATGTTCTATAATTAGTTTTATTTCATCTGAGATTACCTTTAGGGTCATAAAGGTTATTTTGTATGACCACTTTATTATTGTGGGAACCTTGAATGAACAATTTATCTGCAAGTTTTAATTCAGTTTTAAAAATGCATTAAAAATATTCAGTAGCAGCCATGGTTTCACTATTCCGAGAATTTTTAAGAGAGTTGCTGCCTTCCTCATAGTGACAGGGTTCACACAGAGCTTGAAAAGTTCATAAATTTCATGATTGTCTTGAAAAGTCCTGAACTTTGCATTTTGTTTTAAAAAGCCCTTGAATTTTAAACAGTTACTTAAAAAATCCTTAAACTGGAGTATTGTATAAAATTTCTATCACAGCCTGTTTAGTAGTTTTATATAATGCGGCTCTTCAGAAGTTTCACAAGGTCAATCAGTAATTAAGTAATTTACTTTTATTAATTTATTAATTGTCTCTTTCTTCACCAGAGTGTGCAACTCTCACCTGGCTACTGAGAAGGGTGATGATGATTTTTTTTATTGTAATTTTTTCTCTCACCACAAAACCATTTTACTAACAGATTTTCCAATGTTAATATTGTGCAACATATGTCTATCATAAAATGAACAGTGGGGAACTTGGAGTTCAGTATTGGAGGGGACCACCTGGTGAAGGGATGGTGTTACTAAAAGTAGATGAACAAATAAAAAAAAAGATTCTATCATCCATTTAAATCCCTGTGTTGTGTAAGTAAAAACAAATGGATAGGCATGGCCTTACTATTTAAAATTTTTGGAGGGGGGGGGGGCAAATATCCCTTCTCCACGTGTTTACGATACCTGTTTTTTTGGCAAGGTATTCATCCTTGAGCCTGTATTTTACCCAAGACAGTTAGTTGAACAAGTAAACTCATTTGCTTAATAAACTGGTCCATTGGGATAGGGTACCTGTTGAGGCAATGACCATGGTCATATTTTGAATTTGAACAACTTTTGGTCCTGTGTAGACCACATGTACATTCAATTCATTGGATATATATAATCTAATTGTAAAGTGCACACTATATAACTTGTAGCATATTACAAGGTAAGCATTTGAATTGAAAATGAAGGCCTACTCATAATCTTCTGCTAATAGAAATGGACATATGAAGAGTTCCTGTATTTGTATTCAGTCAACAAATTGGGGACCTTGTAGATATTGTTTGATGTAAGCATATTTTCAGGGACTAAGCACTATATTATTTAATTTTATATCATGGAGAAGTACATATTCAATAGGAAAAGGGAAGGCCAACATAATTTCAAAAATTGAGTCAGAGAACACAAAGGATGCCACAGTACAGCATGTTGTGCTGCTTGGAACAAAGTGAAAGTGTGCAGATAACACACATGCAAAATGAAAGCAATGTAAAATGTGAAGACTTTTAAGAAAAATTATAGGTTTAATTTTTTCAGAAAAAAAAAACAAAACAGTTCATCTGTTTATTCAGATTGTGAGACAAAACCAGAAAGTTTTATGAATGTCTGTTATTAGGAGTCAATGAAAAACAGCATTCAAGCCTTAAAAAAAGTCCTTGAATTTTATCATCATGACTGTGTGCAAACCTTGTGGTTTACGTCTTCATCAAAATAACTTGCTCCAACTAAATCACCTTTGTTTCAGATTGTGTGGTGTTTACAGTATTTGAGTGATTTTTTTTATTCTTCAGGTCCCAGTTAGAATTTGGTAAGCAGGTTAGTACATTCAAAAGATTAATAAATTTGAATTTTCAGCAACCTGATTTTCATGTTAAACTTTAAGAGATGCTGCCAGCAGACTAGACATGATATATTTATAAATACATGTACTGTACTTAAAGATTGCTTCCTGATGAATGATGAAAAAGTGCATCTGTTCATTGGATTGTTACACTGATGATAAAAATTAATATATAAGAAAATTAATTTATTGATATTTTTTTTTTCCTATACAACAGTCTAAAGAAACAAGTAAGGGATTTAAAGAAGAAAGTTCAGGGACTGCAGGGAAGTCGTAGCAACCCAGCTGGTTTATTTTCTTCTAGCAGTTTAACAACAGCAGAGCCTGAGAAGCAGAGCTCTCAGAGTATACAGGTAAAGTGAGATATATTATCTTGAAATTACTCGTACACTTACACACAAATCAAATTAGCAGAATCTTTTGTGTAATGATTAAAGAAAGAGTCGTGATGTTTTGTTTAGCCCCCTTCAGTAGAGAAGTAGTGTTTATTCCTTGTACATAGCATTTATTTTGGTAATTTTTATTATGATACTGTGGCTTTTGCTACGTAGTTTAAAAGACATTGAAACAGGCTGTTTATGATTTTCTGGTAGAATCCTTTTATTTTGTGACACCATATTTATTCATCTTTTAGTGCACTCAAAATTGTTTACACAATGTTTTTTTTTAGGCCTACTGATCTCGGATATATCATTTATTCATTTTGATATATGTGTATCCGCCCCCCCCCCCCCCCCACCAAGATCAACTATACTCTCACTTGTACAGGAGTTTTCTCTGCATATCATCCAAAATGTATCAAAGCAGTGAATATAAGAGGAGTCCCAAAATGTATTTCAAACAAGTTTTGCATCCTGGATGCCTGTAATGTGTGTGTGTGTAGTAAACAGGTACAAATTAAAACAATGAATGCAAGAAAATTCCAAAGCTTAAGTGAAAACATTATCTATTTAACTTCTCAGTAAATGAGGACAACTAAGGCTACTTGTTGGCTTATAAAGTCCTTCAAACTGCTTTGATGTCATTATACACATTTCATGGAAAAGGTTGTAACATTATAAATTTTAAACAAGATTTTGTGAAACTGCACTTCAGGTAATATAAGTGCAAACAGTAATCAAAACACTACTTGTACAAAACACGTGGGGCTGGAATAATATGGATTTGTAGTTACAAAGTGCTATAATATCGAGGAAGTATTATGTAAAAGTTCTTCTGTAGTGTAGTGGAGCAAATGCACCTCAGGTGGTATACAGGAAGTCAAGAAATAAAAAAAATATTAAAATATGTGGCCATACAGATGCAAAACATGTCCATTATGAAGGAAGCTGACATTAGCAGTTTGTATACCATTTGATTTTTAATGGACATGCTAAAACATTTAAATATTGTGTATGAACAATTAGTGTTCTAGAACAGGGGCTGATAGTATTGGGCCTCAGAGTATTGGAAGGATCCCTCCTTAGTTAAAATTTGTGTTTTAAAAAAATACTATTTCATAATTTAAACAACAAAGTATTAACTCTATCCCACTTGCTATTTATTACATAGCACTAGATGTATGGTGAATAAATATTATATTTTTCAATATTCAAACTGAATTGTAGAACGTAGGATTCAAGACTGTTAATTGTTAACCTGGCCTGAAAGTGTAATGCTAAGTTGTAATCTGGTCCCTCCCACTGTTTTGTAGCTGGTTGGCCCTGTTCTAGAGCAATGTATATATTTCTATTTATCAGAATTCATCTGTTGTGCATTTCTTATATTTCACACAATGAATATTCCAGTTTCTTCAGTTTACATACATTATGTGTATAATAAGTTCTTGTGTTAGAATTGTCAAATCCTTATGTTTTCAAATTATTTGTTACAGGTTTTTCTGTAACAATGAATGTTGGGAATCATTTGATACCACATAACTGTACATTTTCACACAGTGGCTGATTGATTCACATCTATTTTAGGTTCAGAAATTCTGAAGAGTTGATTTGTAAATGCAAATTTCTTGTAACATTAACATTGTATAAGGTACTTATTAGAGCTAGTTTTGTTAAATTCCCACTAGTTTAAGAAATGACTGTCTTCCAAATTCTCTTTGTGGGTTGAAGAGAAACTACTGTTTCTGAGTGCTCCTGGTTATCTCTCAGGTTTCTTCAGGACTTGAAAGCTTTAAAACCAAAACTACTTCCAAGATTGGATCACAATTCTCCTGACTTGTCTTCAGATGTGTCTTTTATGAGTGTCACGAAGTTGTGAAATCATCCATCCAACATTATCTTAATAACAACAATAACATGCAGAACTATTAATTAATTAATTGATTTTAGCTTGAAAATTTTTTGTGATACTACCGACTCAAGTTTTTTTAAAAATAACAGAAGACTGCTGTGAATGGAGACTTTCATTGCAAATTATAGTCAGTCAGCAAGTGTTGTGAATGTTGTTACAGGTCAGGGAATCTGCAGTATAGTGTGACCTAAGTTATTCACTGAGTTTAAAAAACAGCATAAAACTGTACTTGATAATATCACATTGGAATGCTCTGACCTGTGAGGGAAAGCTCTTCTATGAGAACTTGGCCTACTTGGGTGTAAACCCTGCACATTTGTGATTTTCAACACATTGTAAGTGTAAGCAGAAATGCTATAAAGTGAAAGACATAATCTTATTGGTTCACCAATTTCTATAGCAAATTGTATGTGTTAGTAAGACAGGAGAATGTGCTCTTTCAAAAATTTATGGATACTATATAGGTTTTTGTTTTGTATATACCTGAAGAAAATTGTAATCATATTTCACAGTTTATACACTTATGCTGAAACTATGAAACGGTACACTTCATCCACAATATTCATCTGACATTTATTGCTATATGTTTCAGGCTTCAGAACACAGAGGGAAAAGTCCTCAACATTACCACACACTTCCGTCTCGTGGCTCTCGTAAGTTACAAAATTGCCATGATTATCATAAAGAAGAATCAATTTATGGTACTTCCAGCAGAGTTGGTCAAAAGAATCCAGAAAAAACCTGTGATGATGGAATATGCTTTGTGGAATTTCACTATTCTTCACCAGAGCATGACTCAAAAAATTCAGAAAACCACCTTAAAATGCACTTAGATGAACCTGTAACAGAAAGCAAAGAATCATCCATACCTAAATGCTGTACTGAACGATTGAAGATCAGTGACAGTCTAGCAAATGGATCGGATTTTCAGACATCAAATGTTCCTGAACACTTGGAGTCTAAATCTACTAAAAAGTTCCCCCAACTCCTGTCAAAAGATTTGTCTGTAAAACATGCTCACTGTGAAGGTTTGGTCATCCTCCCTGAAAGTGAACTTAATAAAGGTAGGTAGTGTGTATAATTTTTCTAGAAAATCTCATCACTCATTAGAAAGAATAATATTTAGTCCACTCTTTGCATCTTGTCATTATTTGCTGTTTTGTAAGAGACAAAATTTTACACTATGATTGTTTACTGCTGGCAAGTAGCCATAAATCTTACCAAAGCTAGAATATTATTAAAAAAAACATTTTTATTGATCAATTCAAAGTGAACTATACACAAGTTTGATTGAATTTGTTTCCTACATTTTCCATTTGGTTCATAAGCAGATCTCTTGGATGTAATAACTGAATTCTTAGTACAAGCACTTGATAATTATCAGTTTATAGGCTTAGAACTAAGTTGTAAACCTATTGTCAGTTTTTTACAGATAGGTCTAAAATTTACAATTGGACATGCTATAAATGTTTCTTAAAAGTCATAACTTCAATTAAACTACAAGTATTTTTCAGAGTAATTATTAGACATTAAATTTAATTAATGTATTTGAAGGCTTTGCAACTAACATCTTATTTCTTGTTATCCGTCTGTCGTGATCGTAGCTGTAACTTACAGAGAGGGGGGGTGCATCCCTTAATTTTTTTCATTAAATGGGGATTGTCCATTTTGCAGTTCAACAACAATAGTATTCAGTCATAGGGTTTGTTCCTGCAGAACATATAGTAATCATTCTTTATTTCCTCACTTCGGAATGAAAGTCGTGTGTCTGATTGTCACTGTCCTTAATATATGGTGAAAAGTCTAATCTGCAATTGTGTATTTGAAATTCATATTATACAGTCTATAATAGACCAGATGAGACTGACTAACATTATTTTATTATGATGTCATATTACACCTAGGGGTGGCAACAGTCCCTTCCTGGTGAGAGGAATATGTGAGCTGGACATAAAAGTGAAGGGACTTCACTCTGCATCTTGTGGGAACAATTACTGTATTACTTAGGAAGGGGACCAGCTTTGGGGGGGGGGGTACAGGAGAAGCTAAGGAACATTTTGAGGTAGCTTTACCCCACCACACTGATCTGATTACACCTATTACTGTTAGAGGCATGATGCTTTGCTAGTTTGAACTTGATACCCTGTAAGATTTGATGCTTCATTACTCACCTCATTTTTTCCACAAAAGTCTAAATTTAGCATAAATTATGGTTATTATTTTTCTAGCCTAATCACATTGTAAATAATTCAGGATGTTTGTCAAGAGAAGAAGCTATTAAGTGTGTAAGGACTTGAAATGTTCTAGTATGATTCATTGTAACATGACCATATTGTGCATGTACAAAGGGCTAATTACTTCCTTTTTAGTGCCTTAGTTAGTAGTTATTTGTGATTGTATCATAATGTAATTAAGTTTTTGTTTCCATTTTAAATATATCATGTTTTTATAAGACACTTGTATATGAAGTGGTACTTTTCGTACATGCCTTGTATAACAGACCAGATACTACTACTTATTCAATAAAGAAACTTAATTTAAAAAAACAAAAGATATTAACCAGTTACTGGTCTAATCATACTGGGTTTGATAGAAATATGATTAATACATTCATAGAGGAATAAAGGTGGTTACTGTTACTGTATATATTTTTTTTTTCCCTTTGTAAACAATTATTCTTACTGGTCAATCTCATCTGATATGTTACATTTTTGACATTTTTTTGTGTTTTGTTTTCCAGAATATTTTAGTATCAGTGGTGTCAATAATATTATAAAAATTATTTCTAACAAATTTGTCATTTATAAAGTAATTTACAAAAGTATTGTTTCTTTTATGTTAAGTGTAATTTTCAGATAGCCTTTTTTTTAGCAGGTCCAACTCAGCAATATTTAAGAAGTTACTTTGTAATGTTTTATGTAGAAAATGTTCAACTAAAATACTTTGAAAGCAATAGCATCATTTAATTCCAGTATGTTTCATCTGAAATGGGTGTTTTATGTTGTAAAATAATGAACAAAGATATAATTATTTGTATAAGCACTTCTCAGTTTCACTCTGAACTTTTTATACTCTGTGTTTGCATATTCTTTACAAGCTGTTGTTCAGAAACAAGTTTTTTCACATCACTGTACAGATCTTTTGGATTTGCCAACGTGTACATTTGATTTTGTTATGCCAATTGTTCATTTGACTCATTTTTGATTTCCCAGTTTTAGATGTTATCAAGGAAATGCGTCAAACAATTCATTCTCCTTGGCATCAAAAAGAAAGTAAACAAATGCAGGTGAAGTGATGCTTGTTTTTCTTATTTTTCAAAAAAAAACTGAAATGCTTAACAGTGTATGTTATACTTTCTTCAAAATGAAATTTTCAAACATGAGATAATTCAAAACTAATAGTAGTTTTTGTAATGTTTCTGCTCCCTAGCTTTTCCAACAGTTCTAGAGAATATATGTTGTCTGTTGTCCTATTGAAGACTGGTTTAAGTTAATAAATGGTACCTTTTTTTATGCTAAGGGAATGTTCTTGATATGAAACAGCCTTTACTCTGCATTTAAACCTGGAAGTTTTAATGGGATACGTATGGGTTTCACTGGCTTTCTGAACCCATTTTTCTAGTAACTGCTTGTGATTCCATCACTGTTCGGTACAGGGTCCCTAATGACGTGCAAGTTGCACAGAAAATGTAAATAAAAATACTTTCAATATTACAGTTAATAACACTAATTACTGTTTGAATATTTCATATAAAAATTGATTACAAGGATTGAGATGTAATCAAATACTCCTTTTAGTAGTTTCTGTGCACTAAAACTCAGACTGGACTTGTGGATGAAATATTAGAATTTGAATTATTCAACATTTGCACAAGTTCCTTTAGCTTAAAGCTCTCTTTCAGAAGTAAGAACAGTTATACTTTAGAAATCACATGCTTTATATGAGGTATGTTGCCATATTCTTCAAGGCAACTTAAGTTCTTTATTGAGATATGTTGCTGTCTGTGCTTAAATCTGAAGTGAAAGTTGAAAACTTAATTGGTATATGCTAGGTCTGATTTGGACAGAGGAATGTAACAGTAACTTTATCCCACAGCAAATGGCAGCTAAGTAATGGAAGTAAGATTCTTAATTGATTAAAATCATCTGGTAAGTAGTTTGTGAAATATACAAGGGAACCATTCAGTTGTGCAAGGCTTTTGATAGCAGTAAAAAATATATCAGTGTAAATGTAGTTTTAAAAAGCTGGCCAAAATTATTTTAAAATACTTTTTGTATATGAGCTTTTAACTTGTTAAGGCTGGTGCTAAAGTTTTCACTGTTACCGTGTAAATGTAGTTGCAAAAAACAAATTTTAAGATCTTCTTGTCATGTTGCTAAGTTGAACGTTTGCATGGTAACCCAGTTCTCATGGTTCAATCTGAATACATTGGTACATGTTGTTAAATCTGAAGACAATATTTATACATGTAGTTTATTCTGAATACACATTAACATATGTTGTGTTAATGCTTTATTACATTTTATGTACTATTTTTATCCTCTCTTAGCCAGGACTAGAGAGTAATGATGTAGTTCTGTACTTGATGTAACCTCGTGTATATTTTGACAAGTGTTGAACAGACATTGTAGAACCACAGCTTTTAAAATTTAATCATAAGCTTCCTGTATTGTAGATTTGAAGGTTACATTATCTTTTTATAAATGTATTTTTTTAATTATATTAAAATTTGCTACTACCTTTTATATAAGTTAAGAAAACACCTTTTGTTAAAATATTCTTATAAAGTGGTTATATAGCTTAGTCTTATCAAGGAGAATGATTCTTGCTTCAAGCTAATTTTTAAAAGAAAAAAATTACTTTTCATAATTTTACATACATTTTTGATCTGGTTTAAGGTATGTTTCGGTTATTCTTGCTGTCTGTTGATTGATGTTTTGATATGATATTTTGCAGGTGATTTAAGAAAATAACTGATAATGTGAAGTATTTTTTCTGTGCTTACATCAGCAGTGTAAATGTGGAGAAAACGTTTCATCCTGGAAAGTTATGGTTGATGACTAAGCTAGTATGAAGAGATTATCTACTTGATGCTTATGTTTTACAGCACTCTTTGTTACCAGCTTGTTTTTGTCAGAAGAATATTTCAAGAATACTCAGAGATTTTAAATATATTTGGTAACATTAGTAATTGTAACATCTGAAGAATCTGTATTATGATGCTGAGATTTATTGGTGCAGTAGCATGAAACTGTTTAACACTTCAAAAGGTTGATTATGAATTTGACTAATTACATATATTACTTTCATGGTAACTGCAAAATATCATTTCACAATAACAACATTTTGTATTAATTAAAGTCAAAGAAACATTCTCTGTCTTCTAATAGTTTCACCTTTTAGTTTTAATGTACACATGGTGGATAAACTTTCACTTGGCTTCCAAAACTACATCATTAAAGCTGTTTCCCCTTTTAGCTTTAATGTACACATGTGGTGGATAAACTTTCACTTGGCTTCCAAAACTACATCATTAAAGCTGTTTCACCTTTTAGCTTTAATGTACACATGTGGTGGATAAACTTTCACTTGGCTTCCAAAACTACATCATTAAAGCTGTTTCATCTTTTAGCTTTAATGTACACATGTGGTGGATAAACTTTCACTTGGCTTCCAAAACTACATCATTAAAGCTGTTTCATCTTTTTAGCTTT